GATGCAATGCTTTGGTTTTAACTGATGTGGGGTGGGGCATTTGTTAATTCCATTTAATTATACCCAACACAAAAAACACAATAATGTCAAGTTTATAATTAGTAATTATCCAACTCTAAATTAATAATACCCTGCACTACTTCAGGTAACTGCGCAGCAGCTGTGGAAACAAGTTTACAACAGGCTTGGAGGAAATCCACGAAGCACGAGTGCAGCCACATGCACTCGCAGACACTACGAGAAGTGAGAGCAACAAAACATGTAAAAACATTGTACATTGTCAGGGAGCGTGTCGGTGGTCAGTTTTTTAAACAGTTTCATCTGATCCATGCACAGACTTCTTCTGCCATATGAATGTCACAAGAAAGGCATAGTGATGAGTGCCTTGCCTCAGCATCAGCCAAAACTCTTGCATGATGTCAACTTCAACAAAGACGACGAGGATGGCCAGAGACCAGCCAAACGCAAACTGTTATCAGTGCCGCTGCAACAGGTTGGTCTACTTTTACACTACGGCTAAGTTGCCCAGCACTTTTCCAGAAACTTTGCTCCAGTGCCAAGAATATATCACTCTCCTGTCTGTGTGGTAATTACTGTAGTCAAGCTGGGCAAGGAAGCAAATAACTGTATAAAATGTCAAACGATTCCTACGGTAGCTGATGGAACACTTGTCTTTTCCACAGAGCGTTCCTCAGCTCCAGTCAGATACCCATGGGAACATCTTCCCTCTGCAGCTCCACTACTCTCAGTACTATCACCCAAGCCATGCAGTTCTACCCCCGTATGTCCCAATGTCCTCCTCCATGTTGACATCGCAGAGTCCCCCTTCCCCCGAGCCCCAGTTCCCTTTCTGTCCACCTTGTCCAAATCCAACAGACAGGGTCAAGGAGCCACTGGAGCACTTGCGCAACCTGGCAGAACAGTATAAGACCTCGTCCGGGCTCACTGAGCCCCTGAACCTGAGTGTCAAAGCCCAAAGCCAGGAGGCCAACAGAAACCCTACCTCATCCTTCGCTCCACCATCATCCAGCAAGAACCCAAAGTTTTTGAACAAACCCTCACCTCTGTACACACATCGCCCTCCGGTGGTGAGAAACGATGGCTGCGAGGCTCAAGATGGCGATGCAGATATCACACCGTATTCATATCCTGTTAAAGAAGCGGAGGCGTATGTCATTGATGTTGAAGATGTAACAGACTGCAGCCCCAAAAGTGAACCTACTCTGATGACAGATGAAGGTATCACAACTATGGCACAAAAACGCAGCTCTCCGGAAACAGACTATACAATTTGGCCAAAACAAAAAAAGAGCGTAGGCAGTCCAGAAGTAGGGGGGCTTAATCTCAGCTATGGTCTGCCCAGCCACCCTCAAGACAAGGATGGCAAGATGGAAATTCAGATCCCGCTGTCTATGTTCCATAGCTGGCTCAGGCTTTGTGGGTCCTCAGCTTTGATTCATGAAGCTAAGCAGCTACAGGCTCTCCCTACACTGGAAGCACACTCGGAACAGAGTAACTGCTCTGATCCAGAAATCCTCCCCACCAATCTCTCCCTTCACTCAGATCCCCACCACTGGAGCCCAGCTGCTGAGGATCTGAGGCAGAGGACAGCGCCAAGCCCTATGCCGACCATCCAGACCAATAGCACAAGCCAAAACCATTTCACCACCTACAAGCGTTTGCCCTCCGGTGGCAGTATGAAGAACGCATCCAGCCGAGATGTCTACCCAGTCGACCAGCAGGATATTATTCAGCCGTACGGTTCCAAAGTCTCACAATGCTGGGACAGCTATGACAAAGAGACCCGTGCCGCCCACATCCGAGGGAAAGCCGAATCCAGTCCCATCACAGTTCAGCAAGACTTTACTGCTAAGTCCTTGTACCAAGACGCACCCAGGGGAGGAAGAGAAAGGTCAGAGGTGGCGCCCTCAGCATTGCTAATGGTGAATTCCAGCTCTCTGTTGCACCTCACCACTGAAGAAGTGATGAAGCTGAAGAAAATCATCTCAAGCTCATCATGAAGATCAGTTCAGATTATTCCACTGATTCGCCAACATCACATTAAAGCTGACTCATATTTTGCTTTTCCATTTATC